TACGAATACCTGCCAGGATCATACAGGAGTGGAACTTTAAGTTCGTTCCTTTCATACCGTGTGCTTTTTTTGTTTCGTTTATTTGCTTATTCAATTAGAATGTGTATTGATTGAAATACGACTTAAAGTATGACTTAAATTGTCATATATGAAATTGAAATAAGTTAGAATTTTGTTTAAAAAAGATTTAAAAGATATGTTTGTGCATTCGAGTTTCCGACCCTATTCCCGAATCATGCTTTCATTTGCTATGCTAAATTCAGTCATTATTATGCGCTTGAATTGTTTGATTTCATGGGATCTTGTAAAGTTGATAGTATCAATAGAAATATGAGAGTATAATAGTATGTAAATAGTGACGATTGATTTGGTTTGGTTGATTTGATTTGAATGAGGTGAATTAGGTTGAATTGGATCGGATTGGATTGTGTTGATTCTGACGAGGGGATTACTGTGTGACTAACAGTGACAACAGCAGAACAGAGAATATATTCGATACAAACAATAACAATAATCAATGAACGGATAATATTCCAATTCCTAACAATAGTGATAAGTTGGACGGGAGTTCACAGCAACAAAGTAACGCACCGGCGTATATTAGCCACAACAATAAAAAGTGAATGAGTTGGAAAGGCGTGTATTTTAGAGAGGAATTTATTTAAGCATTTATGCTATATATGTGTTGATTAGAGGAAAGATAAGAGGCATTTGAGCTATATAGAAGGATATATAGGGAGGCATTTGAGGTGTAAATGAATATATGATTTAAATATATGACATGATGGTAAATGACCTTAAGTAAGATTTGGATAAATGATGTGGTGCTAGACGAATGCAAAACACGGAATGACGTGTTACAATATGATTAAGAAGAATATTATCAATAATGATTATCACGAAAAGTTCGCTATCATGCGACAAATAGTAATAATATGTAAATGTATGTAAAAGTAATAGTATGATTTTTTGTGAAGGCAGTACGCAGTTTCGGATATGGCCGAAAGGTTCCTGTTGGACAATTACTCACAGCCAGTGATTAACGCGTCTGCGGTCGATCCGCATTTCTATGTTCGTGTACGACGTTTACGACAGTTGCGTATTCTGCGCACGAAACTCGTGCATTTGTGGCCTTTCATTCGATTATGTCCTATCACCGATAGGACGGTTACCAAATACGGAAAGTAGGTCTTGAGATTGTTTCTTTCGTTGTTTCATCCATTTTGAACTTTGGAAAGTTTTCATTTTTGCCATCTTAAGGGCATTCGAAATGTTCCGATAGGGAAGTATCCGTTGAAAGTGAACTAGTTCGATGTTGTATGTTTCGTGATACTTACATTAGACACCCGATTACTTTACTAGTTACCAATATGTAAGCGTTTGTGATGAAACAAGTGACATTGTTATTTTGCTGGAAGTAGGGGTTCGCGCCTCGACATGATTTCGAACGAGTGATAGGAGGAATCTTTAAGAGCAATTTTTATCTTGTCTCACCACATTGTTCGTCACCGAAGCGAAAAATTTCTCCACAGATGCAACATGCTGTATTATAAAATAGCGCAAACGAATTCGTATTACTGCGTTTTCAAATGTCTTATGAAAAAAAAAGTAAAGCGTTTGACTGAATTGTGTTGTTCGATAGCGGCGACAATTCATGATTTTAGGAGATGTAGCGATTGTATAGAAG